AATAAGTTATTTATTTATATTTAATAATTAATAATTCAATATTTAATAATAAAGTAATTAATTTATTAATATTTATAATTATTTAGTTAAATTATTAATTTATTTGAATCAAGATTATTGATAAAAAATTTCGTCCATAATAAATATAACATTTTTCAAATTTATGGATAGTTAATATTCATGAGTAATTTTATATATTAAAATAATAATTATCGATAAATTTTGGTCAATAATATAAATTTATGGCTGGATTAATATTTATTAATAAATTTCTATTGGTAATTTATAGAATAATTTCGTTGATAAATTTTCATTTTGCAACTATAAATTTTCTTATATAATAAAAGTAGAAACATAATTGGATATTTATATAACTGATACATCATATATCAAATTTCTTTTAAAAATTTATATAAACATATGAATATTATCTTTTTAATCTTAGAAATGCTAATTTATATAAATATTTAATGAAAAGTTCAATTAAAATTGTAAAAACAATGAAAAAATAAACTAACAATAAAAAATCTTAATATTTGTTTAATGTAATAAATGTATACCGTCTAAACGATAATAATTAAATTTTTCATTAATGAAAATATGATTTCAAAATTTAATATTAATCGTTTTAATTAATATAATGTGACACTACCCAATAAGTGTGACTTGTATAAAATAGTATTTTTAATGATGGATGTTTTTTTTTCTTGTTTCAAGTAATTTTTTAGTTGGAGAAGAATGATGGGAGAATGAAAGTTTTAAATTGATTTTAGTTATTTGTTCAAATAATTATTATTTACATTAAAATTTAGAATTTTTATTATACTAGAAATTAATTCCTGTGAATAAAATAAAAAAATTAAGAAAGAATAATCACATTAAATAAATCATATATGAAGAAGATTACAAATTAAAAAACAAAGGAGAGACAACGTTAATGAAACATGATTCTAACCCGTATAAGGATTGACACTATTCTCAATGAAAAATGTTAAGGTCTTAGATTATACGTCATACTTTCTTATATTATGTTGCTCAACTATACGAGACTTAGAATTATACTTGAATTTTTCAACAATCTTCCCTTTAAGTGTGAATTCCTCCACACCACATTAGTACATCCCCCTCAAATATACTAGTTCTTTCATGTATCATCGTTTACATAACGGGATACACTTATCTAATCTACTATTAAGAAAATTTTTGTACAAAGACCACTCTTAAATTGCATCTCTCTCAAACATACTAGTAGTCATTCCATGTACCATATATAAAGAAAAAAAATGACAAATCCTGAAAAATAAAATTATAAAAAAATAAAAATTTCTAGACATGAAAGTGCAATGACCCTGCTAAGTAGATAACATGTTGGAAAGAGGATGATAATACAAACTAAAAGGCATAGGAGAAGGGGAAGAGAAAGGGAAATGAGAGAAAAAATTAGGGGAAATGAAAAGGAAAAGTGGAAGGGGTAAGATGTGGACGATATTTATCGAGAAATGAGATATATGAGTAGTTAGAGTACATCGTTGAATTTTTTAATGGTTATAAAAAAAAATTAAATTTCACTAATAGTAATATAAATATTACACTATAATAACTTCAATCGGGGAAAAATTAATTTTTAAATGTTGTCCATTTCACCTTTGTTTTCTTTATATTTGCTTGTATTTTTTTAGTGAGTTATGAATTTCAATTAATTTAATTATTAGTATTATTACACTTTATTATAAAATCAACCATCTCTTATTAGTGAAGTTTTTAAAATTTCTAAAACTATATTTATTAGCCACCATATTTCATGTTTCTATCACCCCCAATCATATCAAACTTGAGTACAATTTTCCTTCATTCAACCTATAACCTCATTCACTAATAAAACTCAATATCATCTAACTTAATGGGAGTAGTATCCCTTAAACAAATACTAGTGTAACATTTTTAATACTAGAAGACATAGTTCTAAACTAGTAATGGTTGAATATATTGAAGGGTTCAATTATTAGAGTTCATCTGTCTTAATTCAACATCATGAGACGATCAAAAAAACATATAACAATGATGATGAATATAATATTTTTTTAAAAATGATAATGAGTCCATTAGCATTTCGATAGAGTAAACTTCAAGTTATAATTCAAAAATTTAATGCATGTTAAAAATAAGTCATCAAGGAAAAGTGGTTGGGTTAAAAAAGGATGTTGCACATTCACACACAAAATTTTTACAAGATTTGAAAGAAAAAAAATTTGAATACGAAATGTTTGATTGTTGTTTAGAGATGAACCAAAATGACATTCATCATTTGTGGGTGATTATTTAATAAGGTCTAAGGTTTTTGTTTCATGTGAATATTTATCATCTTTTAATCCAAAGACATCCATCGAATTTGAAGAATGTGACAACATCATCAATATCTCTCTCTATAGAATAAAATATAGTCAAAAGAAAGAATAAAGAAAAAAAAAACCCAGTGCAAGCACACTAGTTCCCATATTAATTTGTTTAACATAGATAATGCAATAAAGGAAAAAAAAAACATAAGCTTGATGAATTAAGTGAGTTAAAGAAGTCAGTCACAAGAAATGTGTTTGGAATATGAAATCCTCACGAAATACATATCTAACATGTTTGAGAAGCAATATCAAAATCACGAAAAATATTGTATGTAAAATTATCTCATTGTCTTATATTCTTGTAACATCTCACAATATTATTCTCTCATTTCAATTATCCATATAATAAATTTTTAAAATATTGATTTACACGTATTATTGGATGAAGTCATAAAAGACCTCAAAGATAACAATAATAAAGAAGTCATGAGGTTAATACAAGAGTACCAACAAGTGAATAATAGTGGTAGTAACATTTTAATTCGAAGTGATCATGTTAATCCAATAATCATTCTTAAAATAGTAACATTACATAATTTGTTAATTTCGCTTGCAGTTTTTTATTATACAAGGCCAAATAATAATATTACTATGTTAGATATCTAATATATTTAATAAAGTTATGTTAGATTTTACACATTTAGTATAACATATTATGAATAAAATATAATATGATATAAAATAAATGTAGTAAATTACAATTATCTAGATTTTACTATATTTGTAAAACTATTTTAATGTGAGAAGAAGAAAAGAGAAAATTATTTACTTAAATTAAAATCAATAAAAAAGAGTTTGAAGTATTATAATATCAATTTGTATCTATATATCAATTATTGATATATGTTCAAGTCTTTATCCCATATTTAGATTTTTATGACAATAAAAACACTAACTCTCAAATTTTAGATAGATTTGGTCAAACATATATAAAAAAATTAAAAGATAAAATAATGAAAAAATTATACAACATATTATATTTATTTAAATATTATGTATTTAATATTATTTTCAAATTAAAATATTATTATGTATTAGTAATTAATTTTTTACGAAAAAAATAATCAAATTTTTAATAAAATTTTCGTGAAGATATTAATCAATTATATTTTAATTAATAAATACTATATCATACAAATATTAATGATTATTTAAAATTTATTTGGAGTAAAATTACACTGCTTAAAAATAATGTTATACTACTTTATCCTCATTTTCATATTTTTTAATTTAAAAATGATTTGTACGAGTTATTTTGAATGAAGATGTCTGAATCACTAATACCATTATAAGTTATTAAAACAGGATAAGAATGACTTAAAAAAAACAAAAATAATGTAATGAATTACCACATTTAGAATTCTTTTACAAATAAATTTAAAAACACATTTTCAAACTTAGAAATAACTTTTTTCATCATGCCTAAGTATCAAAGTATCTTCTCTTTTTCAAATGCCAACTAAACAACTTTAACCAAATGAATTAAATACTAGTTAACTATTTTGCACTTAATACATTGCAAAGACGTTCACTTGGTTAGTTTGTTTAAGTGGCTCATAACTTTCCATTCTCAAGTTGTCAACTGAAACTTAATAAAACTAAGAATATTTAAAACAAATTACACAAACAAACTTAAACTCAAAGCATTATAAAACTATGAAACATTTTTTTAAGCTTTTATCATTCTTTGAAAAGTCATCACACGTTTCAAATTATACTATAAGAATAAATATAAATTTCATCAAAATATAATAAAGTAATCTAAAAACTCAAGATTGTTTTCATCTATTATTTTTAACGTTTATTTTTGATAGATTCTTAGCTTAGATTTTAAAGTAATTATTACAAAATTAATGTTTTTTATTGCAGTAAATCTATTATTAGATAAAAGTGTAAAAAGTCTTTTTAATATCATTACATTTTAATTAAATTACAAATTCCAGAATTTAATATAATTAATAATTTTTATCATAAATTTGAATATATTTTTTATATTTTACGTATTATCCTTTTACATATATAAAGTATATTAACTTCAAGAGACTAGTCTTAAAAGTATAACAAAACAAAACATTACATGATGTTTGGTGAGTTTAGTTTTCATTTATCTTTCTGAAATTAGATAAGTATAACAAGGGATTTCGTGTGTTTTTTACACTAAAGAAAGTTGAGTAGAAGAGAGAAAAAAAAAATGAAGAAGAAAATATTTAAAAGATGTGTTAGAAAATTTGAATTCTAAAAGGGATACATACTCATGTTCCTATTACTTTTTGTTTTCTTCAAATAAATATTAAAAAGATAAGATGAATAGATTATTTAAAAGTATGAAAAAGCAATCCAAAATCACGAAAATCACTTGGTGGAGATTACCGTGTTTGACGGAGGGTATTCCCGTCAGAAAAATACAATCCCTGTGATGAAGCTAAAAAGGAACAATGGCGGAACCAAAGGAAACTGAGAAGAGGCCTCAAAAACCCCATAAACCCTTTCTCTTTCTCTCTCTGTCTCGTTCACTCTCCCACTCACACCCACACGCTCAAACTTCACTCTGGAACCTTCATCCATTCATCATTGAAGGGTAGTAGCAGTAATTTGACCAAAGAAATGGCGACTCATCATCTTCCCGACCACTTCAAGTGTCCAATTTCCCTAGAAATAATGTCGGACCCTGTAATCCTCTCTTCGGGTCACACCTTCGACCGTTCTTCAATCCAACGTTGGCTAGACGCAGGCTACAGAACATGTCCAATTACCAAATTGCCCCTCCCGGACCACCCTTCCCTCATTCCTAACCACGCGCTCCGAAGCTTAATCTCCAACTACACCCTCCTCCCCTCTCTCCACCAAACCATTTCCCAACCACAAACCCTAATTTCCACCCTCACCTCTCCCTCTTCTTCCTCCGATTCTAAAATCGATTCCCTCCGCCACCTCACGCGCCTCTCCAAGCGCGACTCCGCCTTCCGCCGCCACCTCGCCGACTCCGCTGCCGTCCCCGCCGTCCTCTCCGCCGTCGTCGAGCCCGCGCTACAGGAGAAGGCGCTCCTGCTCCTCCTCAACCTCACCCTCGACGACGACTCCAAGGTCGGCCTCGTCGCCGAGGGCGTCGTCGAGCGTCTCGTCGCCGTTCTCCTCAACGCGCCGCCGGACTGTCGCGCCGTCGCGGCCACCATCGTCACTAGCCTCTCAGTCGTCGAGGTTAACAAGGCCACTATCGGCGCGTTCCCGGCGGCGATCGCGGCGCTCGTTGCGATCCTCCGCGACGGCAAAGGGAGGGAGAGGAAGGAGGCCGCCACCGCGCTCTACGCCCTCTGCTCCTTTCCCGATAACCGAAGAAGAGCCGTCAATTGCGGCGCGGTGCCGATTCTGCTTCGGAACATTGAAATTGGACTGGAACGATGCGTTGAGGTAATTGGCGTTTTGGCGAAGTGTAAGGAAGGGAGAGAGCAAATGGAAGGTTATGACGGTTGTGTTCAGATTCTGGCTCGCGTTTTGAGGAACGGGAGCTCCAGGGGGATTCAGTATGCGCTTTTCGCCCTTACTTCACTTTGCTTGTATAGCCAGCGAATGTTGCTGTTGGCTCTGGAAGAAGGCGTTCTGGACGCTTCTCTTGGGTTTGTCGAAGATGATAATGAAAAAGTGAGGAGGAATGCGTGTAATTTGCTTCGAGCTCTCCGTGCCAACAACAGCAACCACGATCGGGTGTAGTGGCGATGGAAAATGAATGGAACTGGGAAGTATGAAGTATCAGTTTTGATGGGAAGAAACATTTGTTTGTCTCTCCTCTATGGAGGTGAGTTGTTTTTTTTTTTTTTTTTTGGTTTATTGGTTCTGCCATGTCGGGTGGGTCCTCTGTACAAAATGGAAAGAAGATAATTTTTTTTTTAATGTGATAGGGTTCTTTTGTATGTTGTATATTGAATAATGAAGATGATGGGCTAGCTCGCTGGTGTTAGTTTAGCTGTTCTGAATGGGAAAGGTAAATCCTTTGCATTGTAGTGCTTCATAGTTAGCACATTGCTTCTGTTTTCCTCGTCATGTTACTGTGCATTGAAATTTTAGTGTACTCATGAATATTTTGAATGAAAGAAAAAAAAATGTATGTTTGAAATGAAGCTTATATTGAGGATATGATTTCGAAATGTTATGTTTCTAGATTTATATTTCTTCACTACTTTCCTCTTCGAACAAAAAAATTAAAACTAAAAATTTTAAATTCCTTCATATGTATATTCATTTGTAAACTGAATCAAACATAAATGTGCATTTCAATAAGTTTAGAAAAAAAAAACAAACAAAACAAAACTGGCGGCCTTTAATTTAAGTCAAATTTGTAAGGACTTATGAGGCATGACTTTCATTGAGCCATAATTGCCTTGGATGGTTGATTTTGATCGGAAGGCACTGCTTTTATTGTTTATGTTGATAGGAAATCAGATTTCTTTTACTTGTGAGGTATATTTTAACTAGGAGGATATAGACTTGCAAGTGAGTTTTCTTTTAATTTTTCACCCTGTTCAGCAACCAGTCATTCCCACAATACTCATTGCTAGTAAAATATCTTTTTCTTTTGAAATGTGATTCACATGTACAATTTGTGCATTCAGGTTTATGTCCATCATCATTTTATTAGACAAATATGACGACATATGGACTTCGAATTGTTTTTGCATCTAAACATTTATGAAAGAAGTTCCTTATAAATTAAAGTTTAGAAATCCATCCCATATAGTTCTTGCTCTATTCTTAATATCGTAAGATGCAAAAGGTTTGTTTTCAACAACAAATGACTATGTTGGTCTAACAGTTTGGGAAAATACATGTTTATTATATCATGACGTATGCAAGTAAATGTTCATTTTATCAGTGAAAGTTTTGACTGAGAATTTTTTTTGATGGCTACAAACAAAATACTACAATTGAAAAGCCATCAATACTAACATCATATGGATTTGAACATAGAAGGTCGCAGGAAAACATTTTTAACGCTCAAATGCACTGGTTGCAAAAGTACTTAAAATTAATGAGTTATGTTTGGATGGTTCTATACCACTGGTTGTTATTTTACTTCAATTTTCTATCTACTTCTTTCTCATTTAAATGAATTTTTCTCTGATTGCTGTTTGATATTTAAGAATTAAGAATGTAATACTGGGTGTTTTTAAGACAGGTAATTAGGGATCCATTGCTTCTACCCCTCTCCCACCCTCTCTTTTTTTTTTATCTATTTGTTTAAATTTTTTATTAATTGGTTTGTTTTACTATAGGATTGTGACTTTTATGGAACATTTAATTTTTGTTTAGCCTCAAGATGAGGTAGCTACTTGAAATGGGAGAGGACTGATAGTTGAGTCCGGGGCATTTTCTTCAGTTTGCCAAATTCTTTGCTAGATATGTTGAAAATTTGGGTAAGGACGCTGAATCATGTGATCAGTAGTGCTTCTTTATTAATATTTAAGTATTTTGATTGTGGTTGGCATGTAGCATTGAGAACTTCATCCATTTAATAAAATTGCTTTTATCCACTAATAAAATGCCTTGTCTTGGAGTAAGGGAAGAGTTACGAGTAATTGGTCCTTGCACAACTTATTGTAGCCTTGCGACAAAAAATTACTTCCTGTAATATATTAGTACTGCAAACATTTTTATGGTAATTAAGTACACTGACACAGTTTTCAGTGGTTTGTACCCATGCCATGTTGTTAATTTTTGTTATAATAACAAGTTTTTAGTCCATGTCTACAGGAAAGACTTCATTCGCCCTAATTATGTGTTAATTCTCTGTCGACTGTTGAAGTTTCTCAGAAATACTAACTGAAGATTGAGGTTGTGCAGAGGGTTTATTCTTTGCAGGTGTTATCTGCCTTGTAGTTTGAAATAATGAGATATTTGTAATGATTTCCAATATGTATCCCATCTAGCTTTTAAAGTTTGGTTGGGTGATTTAATAGAAAGTTGCATGATAAATGTTTTTTTGATCTCCCTATATATAAACTTCACCAGATAACACACAGGATGTTGCGACTTTGTTCGGTTTTGTAGTGTGGATAGCAAAGCAATTTTGTGTTTCCAATGGTGTTATTTGGCAGGTAATTTGGTTTGACTTCAAAAGTTTTACCTGAGGTGTTACTACAGGTTGTTTAATATCCTGGATTGACAATATTGATTCAGAATTTAGTGCAATTGTTTGTTACAGAGCATACGATTCTCAGCAAATTTATTTCTGATTCACTTTATGAGTTTTTACTGTAGTGGTGTGTATTGTACTATCAATCACCAATTGATGTGGATTCATCTGTTCCAAAACTGGTTTGGTCAACACACTTTTTCTGGTATTTGGTACCTTCCTGATATCTTGATTCTTTTCATATCATTCCCCCCTTCCTTTTTTCTTCTTAACGATTCCCTGCAGGAGAAGGCAACGGGGTTTACGGAGTCATTCTTATATTAAAAGAGATGTCTTAAACTGACATAGATTTGTTTAATATTAGGAACATAAAAACATTTTAATACAAAATTCTATTATACTATGTGAGCAGATAGCATCGGATCATGGTTACAATGATTATTAAAAAAAACCTTATTAATCTGATTGGGTTTACATTACAATAAACAATGTGTAAGTGTAGCTCACGAATCTAGGTGATGGTAGTGTAGTGTTTTATCAGCGTGCGTAGAATTTTTCTTGCAAAGTTTTTAACATTATCACGTCACCTATCATATGCTTCCCGTATTAGAAAATTACAATTTAGGTTTTATTTTACTTGTCGTTGAAGTGTACGTTTCCATTCAGTTAATTCAAAGGATTGCATCAGTCACATTTTAAAAAATAAATATATTTATAGTAATGATGGAATGTTAATTTGTTTATATATAAGGGTAGTAGTGTAGGAGTATAATTTTACATAAAAAAATGTTTAATAGTACGTAAAACTAGTTTGACATTGTTGAAGTATTAATTGGACATGTTTATGGTTGTCTTAGAAATTAGAAGCTTTAGGTATGAAACCCTATTTAGAGCTATCTAATCTTCCAGATCATCATTAGTTGTAACTCACTATTGTAGAAAATTTAATGTTATTATTTTTTTTCTTACTTAAGACAGTACGTAGTAGAGTGTTGAGAACGACCACAGCATGAAAAAATTGACCTGTCATAATAACTACGCATATTGAGTATGTTCATTTTCATACCATTTGAGTTAATGTTATCAACTTCCTGGGATTGCGGGCTAAAATCGTCAATTGCTCGTTAAAAACCCTTTCCTAAAACTCGTTATGATAAACTAACCTAAACATGTAAATGCGTGTTTCCGTATTTTTTATTATATATATTTTTTAGTTTATTAAAATTTTTAATATATCTTAATTTTAAACTATAAATATTTATTTTTAAAGTTATAAATTATTAAATATAAATAAACATAAAATAGATTTTTAAGAACAAAAAATTGAAAGCAATAAATGAAAGAAAATATAACATAAAATATAAACAATAATTTTTCTTTCCGATAACATCGAAAAAAGTAACAAAAGAAAATTATTTTCGTATATTATTATTAACTGCAAATTTAATTGGACTAGGCTAAATTGATTTTTAGGTTTTAAATTTTTGTTAAAAAATGAATTTCACTAAAACAGCCATTAAATGATTTCATATATTAATTTTCACATAGTTTGAGTATATATATAATAATAATAATAATAATAATAATAAACATTTTTTATATATTTTTTTCTTTCACATTCTTTTAGGTCGAATTCTATGACCGAGCCCATGACTCATTCCTTTCGGCAAAGCTTAATGGGCAAGCTTGTGGTTGATTTTTGGGTGTTGTTAAGCGCACCCATTTTTGATAAGTGCACTCTAACTTATAAAACTAATCCTGTAGGTTAAAAACTTATAAATTAATTAATTTGTATTGCATTTTTTTTTCAAAATTTTATTTTTAATGTATAATTAATTTTAACTTAGTCAATTTAATTTTTATGTTCATGTTATTTGTCTCATAAAAGTATTATGAATTCTTTATATTAATATAAAACCATAATCTCTTATTATTTTTTCCATTTTGTCTTGAAACTTTAACCTTTATTTTTACGATAATCTCCATTGTTATTACTTCCCATCTCAATTTTTTTTTTACCACTTTTTTTGGAAGTGTTTATCACAGTGATGCGATTATCAAGTGTTATGATTAACAATGATACTATTATCAAGTGTTTATCACTATGTTAAAAATAATAACTATTAGTACAACTATTTTTATTTAAAAATCTATAGTTTAAGTTCCCATTTGATTGTTTCTTGATTATCTCTTTCATGATATAACTATTAATGGAACCTTCGATGTCCTTCACATGAATCCACCATTTTAAAATTCTAAACCATAATTTTTTTAACTACTTTCCTCCTCCCTACTCAATTTCAAAACTCCAACCTAACCTTTTCTTGTTATCTTCGCCTCACTCTCTCGTGCATCAAAACCTAAAATCCAAAAATCTTTTGCTTGAGGGGTTTACCTTCTTTATATCTTCTTAGATGTCAAAACCGTTTTTTTTTTTCTCTTATACTGTAATTCGCCAAAAATCAAATAAAACACGATTATCCATGGTAATAATCAAGATGAGTTATAGAATCTTTGTCAATTTATTTTTCATATATAATGTTTTTAAAAAGTATATTTTTAATTATATTAATAAATTTTAAGTTTTTATTTATTAATTAATATTTTTATTAGATATATTAAAAAAATATTATATTTATGTACTAAAATACTTAATTATAATTAATAATTTAAATTTAATTAATTAATATTTATAATTTAAATTATAATATTATAATATATTTATATATTTCAATAATAAAACATAAAAAATATAATATTTTTAATTATAATTCTTTTTATTTTTATTTTAATATATTAATATTTTTAAAAACTGTTCAACGAGACAATATGTTAAAATGAATTAACATATTAAAATTATTAATCTATCGACTTTTAAGTCTAATCCGTTTTTATCATTTTTAAATAAAATTATAATTAATAATAAAAAAATAAAAAGACAACTAACAAAGATAAAAGAAAATAAGTTTGAGATTAAAATTGATAATTGATAAAACTTTTAAATATATTAAGTCAATTATTTTATAATAGTTTTAAATTATGTAAAGATAAAAAAAAACATAAAAAATTACAATGATAAAAAAATTATTATAAAATAATTCAATATTATAATATAAAGTCAATATATAAAAAATAAATAATAAAGTCAAAGTAAAATATGATAATCTTTAATAAAAATACGATATTAAATAAATTATTGAATGGAAGTGTAAAAATAACATATATAATTACTTTATGTATATTAAATAATAAACACATTATTAAATTAAATTAAATGTCTACAAAAATTTAATTATCTTCATCTGATGTCTTAATTAAATTAAATAATATGTTTTCAGTATTAAATTAATTACAGTATTAAAAATTAAGAAAACTTAAATCTAAAAAATATTTTTTCAATGACAACAACATATTGATACTACAAGAATAACCTTGTTTTATCCAATAAAATCTTATTATAAACATTAATTTAATAGTATTATTTTTCTAATATCTTTAAAATGAAAGCGATATAGCCTGAGCAAAATGCTGAGGACTGGGAATTTACAAGCTTTGAGCAACAATCTACACTATTTTCGCATGATTTATTCATTAATCTTTTGGCAAGTTTTACATACAGTATTTGCTCTTCGTGAGAGCCATGAACTGTGAAAATCATGAAGAAACCCTTTATCAGATGTATTCTCCGAAAGGGCCATGGAATGATAAACGAATAGAATGAAACAGTTCATCTTTGTATTCAATGTGAAAGTTTCTGATTTTTTTTCTTTTGTTTACATAAAATTTTCAAATGTTCTTTGTTCTTTTTGTGTATTATTTCATCCCCATATACATTTATATTTTCTTTTATCTTTTCTCTTGCATGTACACTGTTTTAAATTTTCACTCATTTTTATGTCATGATAGAATTGCTAGTAATGTCAAATTTGAGTATAAAAACAGGAGTGAATTGTATTGAATTCAGAAACAGTGTATTTATTTAATGACGAGGGAAACCATAAGAATGAAGAGTGTGATTGATAGAGGAAAAAAAAAGAAAAAAAGAAATGGAGAAAGAGAAAGTTGGTAGACAAGAAAATTATATGAAAAATGAGATGAAAATAAATGATGTTGCATTGAAGATAAATATAACAATGATAATTTTTTTAAAATTATTTGGTTAGAAATTATTATTATTTAATTATTTATATGATTATATTTATTTTTGTTATATATCTTTTTTATTTATTTATTATTGTAATCTTAAAAAAAAAAGAGTGAAAGAGGCTCCAAAATCTGATTATGAATTATCCCATAATCGAATATGGAACTAGTTTTAAAAAATCAATTTTAATGTTTACTTTACCAAATATATTATAAATAATTTTATAGATAAAAACCATAAAAAGATGAACTTGAAAAGTCTTAATGTTTATTTTTTTATTTTTTCTGTAGGGGACGTTTTAACGTGAAATGAGTAGCAGATTCTGGTATGATCCGGGAAGAATTTGATTTCACATTTTTAAAGTGAAATTGATTTCTTAAGCTTTCTTAGCATCAATATCAGAATTTGTGTGTGTAACTAACTTTGACTTTTGAGGAAGAAACACTTGAAGTTGTGTCACGAAAGTATCCATTAACGCGGTTCACAATTATACAAATCATTACATCAACAACAAAAACAAAGTACCTCTTAAGTTAAGTTTGGTAGTGTGCACACGTAAGCAACAAAAGAAAATTATCAAAAAGCAAAGAGTGTATTAATCGTTGGAACCACCCAAGTTACCGTATCAAATACGCTGAATATAGTTTTAATCTTTCAAATTTAGAATTAATGTCTGTAATTTTAAAAAATTATTTTAATGTCTTTATCTAATCATTATTACAATGAATATTTAAAAAAGTAAATAAATTCGTGAATCAATAATATATAAACTTTAAATAAATTCATGTATTTATAACTATGTGCGAAGATGATTGTCTTTTATAATTGATATTTTTTTAATAAAAACATCATAATTAAAAAAGAAAGTAATTATTATAATTTATATTTAAAAACAATGTGATTATTAGAATGTCACGTGTCAGGACATGTGACTTCACATTGGGACGATGAAGTAATGTTTCTCGTCTTTTACGTAACTATTTAATAGAAAATAATTAAATAGTTGAATTTTATATTATAAGAATAAAAAGACTAAGATTTGTTTTAGGAAACAAATATGATAAAACCAGTATACTAGAAAGCATATTTAAATCAATTTATAAATAATATAATAAGTCCTTTTTTCTTCTTCTTCTAATTTGTCATTCTTTGTTTTCTTCTTCTTTATTTTAAAGATTTATTAAAGTGTCTTTTCCAGAAATGTAAAACATAAATAAATAAATAAGAAGATAGAAGAAAAAATTAAAATATTTAAAAATTTATTAAAGTGTGATTTAGAAAGAAAAAAATGAAGATGAAGAAGGAAAAAAAGGAAGATGAAAAAAAAGGAATAAAAATAAAGATTTATCTAAAGTAAAAAAAATCTTTCTTTAAAAATTAATGTTTACAAATGTAAAAAATGTACCATTTTTTATTTTACATACTAGTATTTATAGATTAAGAAGTATTAAAGATTATTTTTATTTAAATTAACAATCAATGTGTCAAATTCTTAATTTTAATTAAGGGAATTGAATTGTAGGAGAAAAAAAAACATAGAAAAATAACCGTTGAGAATTTTGAAACAAAGAGAACAAACAAAAAAAGAGTTTCTTAAATTAAATTATAAAATATTTTTAATTAAACTAGAAAAGCAGTTTCTTTTTCAGTTTAATTTGTTAACTTATTTTCATTTAAATTAGAAAGGAAGTTTTTATTATTATTATTATTATTATTATTATTATTATACACAAGTTATAACAAAAGTAGTATTTAAAAATGAAAACAGAAAAAATATATTCAAATAATAAATATTCATATGAAATATACAAATAAAAAATATTAAATTGGACAGATATATTAAAAAAAAAAAACTACTGAGAAACCTAAGCTAAACAATTTAAAATAATGCAACTATGAGCTAAGATCATGCCACAAAATATCCAATTAGAACTTAAATATCGCCTAACACTTAATTTTTATCATTTTTGTATTTGTTGTAATTTATTTTTGCTTTAATTAATTGTTTGAATTATTCTTTCTTTTCTTTAATTAATAGTTTGATTGATATAAAACAAAGAGTCAATATTAAAATAATATTTTCAAAATGATTTTAATGAAAGACCTTTAGTATTACTAGTACATTTACTATTTGGTTTTCACTTATTATTTTTGTGCATCAATTTTTTTTATTTTGTATAATTAACTTTTTTTGAGAATATATTTCAGCATTTATTTATTTATTTATATTACATTTTTACAGTAAAATTAAATAAGATCCAACTAATTAAAATATATTATTATTATTATTATTATATTTTTAAGAAGATTCTACTTGAAAATATTTAATTTATTTAATACATAAAAACATTGACATCAATTCATTTTTATTATTTTACAAATTAGAAAATTAAAACTTATCTATCCTTCAATATGCTTACAGCTTATTATAAAATATAATTATTATAATTAAAGAAAAAATTTCAATCCATTACAAGGTTGTGATTTTTTTCTATAATTTATAAAAATATTATTTTAAGATTTAAATATATTAGTATTTTTTGTAATATATATATATATATATATATATATATATATATATATTATGTGATCACTTAAAAATTCATTTTTTTTAAATATCATCAAATTTTACTCCTTTATTCTCTATTGTTATTGTCATGTTTTTAAATAATGATATGATAGATAAAATATAAATTATGAGATAAGTCATGTGTCACAATAACGTGATATTTTATTAAAACAAAAATCAAAATAATTAAATTTTGATTTGATATAAAAATTAGTAGGATATTTTTTATAAAACTAAAAAAAATATATTACAAACATGATTTACATAACTTTCTTTATGGTATTAAATTTATTATTTAATTTGCCGATGTTTATATAAAAATTTCAAAAGAAATAAAAAAAGAACTAAGAAATAAATTGTGATTAAATAATGAATTATGTTTTGCAAATGAAATTTTAACTATTTATTATAATATTATTGGAGAAGTCTCCTTAGGAAAATAAAATGAATGGCAATAATTGATTTACAGCTTGTCACCGGGGACATGCACTATATAAGCACGAGTACCCTGTCAACGTTCTCATCCACCAACGTCTGAACCAATACCCACACACCTTTTCCTTTCCATAGACACACACACACACCCACAGAACACCGTACACTCCCTTCAATGGCCATCACTAAAGTCTACATTGTGTAAGCTGTTCTTCCTCTTTCTTCCCTTTTTTTTTCTTTATTTTCTTATTCCCAAGTTTCCAATACCACTGTTATTTCACTGGGCATCTTTCCGTTTTCTTTTTCCCCTTACTTTTTATTATCTATGCCTTTGCTTTATTTTCCCCTCACACGAACATGGTTATATATATAATGCACACGGGGATTGTCATCGGTGTTTTCCCCTTTTGTTGTTTCGTTTTGTGTTGTTCGCTGGTTCTTCAATTACTCTACTCTTCTGTTTATGATTTGCGGTGACTATTTCTTCGTTAGTCAACTCTGCATGTTAGTGCTACTTAGTCATTTTCCATTTTGGTATTTGAAGCTATCCAGTTTTTTTTTTTTTTTTTTTTCATTTTTATAAAATACAGTCCTCAGAATTGCATGCACTTTTGCCCCTTGAAAGATTGGGGGATTGTGCCGTTTTTCATCAATTAACTTGTTTTGCGATGAATATCTTATTTCTCTGCTGTGCCTATTTAGAATCCAGTTGTGATGAATTACATAACCCAGAAATTTTTGTTTCAGCATCATGATAAATTAGTGCTGCCTTCAAGGAGAAATATTGACACAGATCTGTTTCCTTATTCTCCGTTGTTTGGCCATTTCTTTAACCTATTCTTCCCTTTGAGAAGGGTTCGAGGGTATGCAACTGAAAAAAAGAGAGTTTTATTGTTAAGGATTTTATTTTTATTTTAAATTTTCTTTTTGTAGAAAGAAAAACCTTGGGGTCAGTAGTCGATGGGGAAATTAACAATAACAACAGAGAAAGCTATAATTGTGAACCCCCCACAGACTTACCTTTTCTCAAGAAGGTTGTAAAGGCATGGCAATATCTATCCATGGAAACGAGAGTGCATGCCCCACGCACTTTGTTAGAGTGTGGTCCTGACATTCATCATTATTGACGACTCTTCCTTGGCTTGCAAATTCCGATATAACTTTAGTATTTGAAAATGTTTCTTTGGCCCCAACCATTTCTACTACGAAATATGCAAATAGAATGAGGCAGGTTTTGTTAAATGGTTTCTTTCTGTACAGAACGAGCTGTCAATGTCATCATGTCTTGTCTGGTGGTACTATAAGGCTTATACTTGTCCTTGGTGATAACATAGTGCCACCATAATCCCCTGTTGATGCATTAGTGGTAGGTGCCATAATCTTTCATGAATCAGTGAATCACGCCTTGTTTTTGGTTATGATGACTTTGATTGAGCTTCGTTGTTATTGACCTGAATTTTAACTTTTACTGGTAAGTTCTTTTGTCTGTGCTTTTTGCAAAAGAAGAGAGTCTCAACCCTTTTCTGGTTTGGGTCATCATTAATATAGCCTTATGGCCTATGATAACGTCCTTCTGAAGTTGTACTTAATGTCTATCATAATGCTGTAGAGTGAATTTGATTAAATTTACTTTGCTTTTTATTGTTTAGTTACTATTCTATGTACGGACATGTTGAGAAGCTCGCTGAAGAGATTCAAAAAGGAGCTGCTTCCGTCGAAGGAGTGGAAGCTAAGCTATGGCAGGTTTGTAATGACAAGTTTTTCGAGTTATAATCCTCTTTCTTTAACACTTATGCTCAGTTATTTCACATTTGGAGATTGGTTAACGTCTATCTTATATCTATCTGTCCAAGATTTGTTTCCAGTTATCAAAGTGTTCAAATAATCATTATGCTTGAACCTAGCTAGCTAATAAATTCTGAAGTAGTATCATGGAACACACTATATTATTAGGTGAAATTCATAAGGGGCCCATGTGTGTCAATTTCCCATTATTGTTTAACGAGACTAGGATAAATTTCACTCATCAACGAGTGGGATAAAAGAATTTGTTATAAAATATGTTGCAATCACTTTTCTAATGCAGTTATTAAGTATTCTCCACAATCCATTAGAATATTACTCAACAAATTGGGAATTTTCATTCTGTATTTATGATGTTATTACAGGTACCTGAAACACTGCCTGAAGAGGTCCTCGGGAAAATGGGAGCACCTCCAAAGAGTGATGTTCCAATTATTACACCCAATGAGTTACCTGAGGCTGATGGCTTATTGCTTGGTTTTCCCACAAGATTTGGACTAATGGCTGCTCAATTCAAAGCTTTCATGGATGCCACAGGAGGCCTATGGCGTACACAGGCCCTGGCTGGAAAGCCTGCAGGGATCTTTTACAGCACCGGTTCTCAAGGAGGAGGCCAAGAGACTACTCCGTGAGTCACCTAATCTAACAAGATTTTTTCCACCAACTCTTTTTTGCGCATATTCCAATGATCACAAATTGCTTTCTGTTTTAAAACTGTGCAGGTTGACATCTATCACTCAGCTTGTTCATCATGGCATGATTTTTGTGCCCATTGGTTACACATTTGGTGCTGGGATGTTTGAGATGGAGAAGGTGAAGGGTGGTTCCCCATATGGGGCAGGTACCTACGCTGGGGATGGCTCCAGACAACCTACCGAGTTAGAATTGGCTCAAGCTTTCCATCAGGGGAAGTACTTTGCTGGCATTGCTAAGAAACTCAAGGCATCATCATCTCAGTGATCTTAATGCATCTACCATTTGATGTTTCTATAATTCTATTTACTTAAGCAAGCAAAAGAGTTAAGTGCATCATATCCAGTTTCCAGTTCCTTTAATGTCGAACAGAATAAGATTTTATTCAGAGGGAGAAAATAATTAATACTTGGGTTCAATACTACTGTGTTGTAATTTGTCATTATGTGTCCTCAAATACAATGTTATTGTCAGTAACTAGAATTTGACAATTGTTACTATTTATTTTCATTGAGCTCAATTTGTTTGGCATAATATTGATAGTACTGCGCTACTCTGTTACAATGAAAGTATATTTTGTTTTAAAGATATGATAAACTGATAAGCCATGAGTCCGGGACATTGATTATCTAAAACTCGACAATAATATCCTTATTCGTTTTTGTATTGAAAAGCTTTCTCATTTTAACTGAATTTTATGTGTGTTCATTCTTGATGAGTAAAAGAACTAGCCTAGCTTAGCAACTTCATTTCATCAATGATGTTACTGATAATGTCATATTAACATAATATTTATCATGTAACTTAAATAGGTCTTTCTTTTACCTTTTCATAAACAAATTGATTTTGTTCAGTAGCTTCAGGTGCAACCACAGATATATTGACGAAGTTAAGTAAGGAAGAAGAGTTTGTTTCTTCACAAGGTGATGATAGCATGCTGTAATTGTGTACATGTTTTAAAGGGGACCTCACACCAAATGAAAATGCACTTAAAGTAATGGTGTTTCTTACAAATTATTTGGTGATTTTACTGCATCTGATTTCAACCAACTTTGCTCGAACTTTTCCTATTTATTGCTAAAGTGGTTCATTCCTCTTTCCCTGTTGCCATGGAAGTTAGAATATCAAATCAGGTTGTTATGGCTTTTTGATTTTTGACATGAAAATTAGACAATACACTTCCAAACAGATTACACAACACTTGGGTTGTTCTTGTCTTTCCACCTTACTACCAACTAAAAGCGTTAATTGATGGATCGTCTCACGCGGAAACATTATTTTTCAATCCATCGTAGCTTGCTTCGAATTTTTGTAAAGACACCTCACATTAGAGTGGTTGAAATTTCGAAGAGATGCTGTTATTAATACACTAGTTCAGCCTAATAAGGGAGATTTGAATAATTTATACGTGTTTTGGGGAAAAATTATTGATAAACAATTACAGTTTTTTTTTTTAATGATAAACAATCTCTGTGATTTTTAATTTATGATATATTTAATACAAAAAATATTTATTTAAATTGAACACTAGAAAGCATTATAGACTTTCGGATTTAAGAGAAACATTTATGTTTATATTATAGATATTATCTTCATACCAAATTGAACAATATTTAATACTTCTTTCTTTATACTAAAATTAAAGTTTTTAAAAAAATACATAATTTATTTAAATTTATTCGGCAATTGTTTTCTCTTATACTCTATTTTTTTTTAATTTTTACGTGGAACGATTGTACATACCTCTAATTAATTATTTAAATAATATAGAAATCATTCGTAATATTGAGAATTTTAAAACAATTTAATTCATGATTAATATTTTCTATTCCATATGGAGAAATACTACTTCAGTTATATCATAGAAGACTTGGTCTATCCTGATTTTCTTATCCCAATGTTTGATAGGTCTCACAAATTAGTAATGTAACAGATTTTATTTCTTTCTGAAAATTTCTTACTTTTCACTCTCGATTGTTCTGTATATATCTAAACTTCAATTATTATTATTATTATCTAAATTGTGTTATTAGTTTTATATGCTCTCAAATATATACTTCTGTTTCTTTTGTGTAACTCGTACAAGTGTTATCATCATTATTGTTTTGGCCCTTCTAAAAGTCATATTCTCTTTCGTATCTGTAATATGATTTTATTTAATATCATTATTATTCTTTGGGCTATTCTAGAAGTTATCAGTTCAGTTAAATATTGGGCTCTCCATGCTTGACAAAGTCCAATAGATATAAAGACCGGCTCCTTTTTCATACATTTTCATATTTCTTCTTCCACCACATAATTCATATAAAATAATTAAAATATCTTTTTATTAATTTTTATTTGAAATTCTAAAAAGGTTCTTTGCATTCCTCTTCATCTCCATATCTCCTCTCCACCCCCATAACTCCTCTATCTTTGTTTTGATGCCTTTCTATCTCAGTCGACGATCGTTTTAATTAAAAACTATTAATGTTTTGTACCTATTATAGAATAATCATCATAATATCTATAAAAATTGAACTAAAAATGTACATAAAAATTTAAACTACTCAATTTGTAATACATTTCTAGACTCAAAAGTAAGTTTTAGAGCAACTAATCCGCAATATATTTCTGGAACACCTAATCCATAAATGCATTCTGGATTAATTGTTTTAGAACTCATTTATGAAATACTCAATCTGGAAATATATTCTATATTAGTTGTTTAAAAACTCATTTCTGGATTTGGTACTCTGGAAATACATTCTGGATTGGGTATTTTGAGAATGAGTTTCATAATCGTTAATGTAGGAAATCATCCATGATTTTCCTCTTTATTGATTAAGGATATATACAAAATACAAACTATAATTTAGGTTATCATTATAATTGACAAACTATAATTTAGACTAATCTTTAGGTAATTATTACTACAAAATATTCTTAAAATAATAATAACTTATTTTATTTAATAATATCTATCACATTCCCTCAGTCGAAGCGGGAGGTTGACAAACACTTACATTGTTTTGAAAATGATTAAAGAGTATGTGTGGAAGACCTTTGGTGAAAAATAACAATTTGATAGTGGGACGGAACATGAAGGACACGAATTTTGCCACGAGCAACTTTTTCACGTACAAAGTGTACGTCAATCTCAATATGTTTTGTGTGTTGATGTTATATAGGATTACCCAATAAGGAAATGACACTCACATTGTCATAATACATTTTAGCTTTTTGAATTGGATAATGAAGCTCTAGAAGAAGGTTTCAAATAAAACAAGATTCAAAAACAATATTAGCTACTCCTTAATATTTAGCTTCAACACTAAAATGAGATAATGTAGGTTGTCGTTTGGACGACCAAGAAATCAAGTTATCATCGAGGAAAACACAATATCCAAATATAGATCGTCTAGTATCCGAACATCCACCCCAATATGCATCTGTGTAAGAGAGGAGATTTCTAATATTGAATTTGTACAAATGCAAGCCAAAATCAATAGTACCCTGAATGTAACGTAAAATACACTTGAGAGCATGCATGTGCTCTTCCTTGAGATCATGAATATAGAGACATACTTGTTGCACCACATAAAAAATGTCAGGCCTTGTAAAAGTGAAATATTGCAATGCTCCAGCAAGACGTCTATACTTAGTAGGATCCTTGTAGGGAATGTCATTACAAGCGTTAAGTTTAGGTTTTGTGTCAACTGGTGTGGGACAAGTTTTGCAATTAATCATTCTTGATCTTTTAATAATTAATTTCTTCTACATATTTTTTTGTGTGAGAAAAACATATTGGTTGTATGACGGGTAACTGCAATCCCTAAAAAATAACTGAGTGGACCAAGATCCTTCATAGCGAACTCTGCACTCAAGAATGACATAATGAATTTTCTAAGAGAATTAGAGGAAGCCACTAGGATAATATCATCAATATACAACATAATATATGCAATATCAAACTCCTTATGATATATGAATAAAGAGTGATCGAATTTACTATGTTTGAAACTGATTGTGGCCATATAATCTGCAATTTGTTGGTACCAAGTACGAGAGACTTGTTTTATGTCATAGAGTGACTTCTTTAACAAACAAACATAATTATGATGAGAGAAATTCTTAAAACCCATGGGTTGATGCATATAAATGATTTCATTTAGATTATCATGTAAACATGTATTTTTGATGTCCAACTGATTAATGGACCATGATTTGGACAAAACATTAGTTAAAACCGTTAGAATGGTAGTTGGTTTCACTATTGGACTGGATGCTTCATCATAATCTACTTTTCTTTTGTGACCTACCATCACCTACAAGACAAGTTTTATACCTCTCAAAAGAACTGTCAGAGTTGCACTTATGTTGAGTATTTATTAGATTAGTTGTATCTAACTATTGACCTAGTTCCTAAAATGTATCTGTTTATCTTCTCTAGGTTTAATCATTTCCCCCTATTTATTGTATCTCAGAATTTGTATCTTTATCTCCTATAAATAAGGGAACACAAGAGAAAAGAATATGCTCTCAAAAACATCTTTTTATTTTCCTATTATCTATTTCAAGTTGGTATCAGAGTGGGTTCGTCCCGCTCTACCTATTTCTCCTTTTTCTCCATCGTCCATCGCCGTCCCCCGACGTCGTTTCACTCACTGTACTTGGGTTTGGATCGCCTCGAGGAGCGCAACCCAATCTCGGTGGTCACTTCAGCTATCTCTGTTAGATGCGCTACCTTCGTCCGCTGCTTCCTCCGCGTGTGTGGTTTACGCGCCGCCTTCTCGGTGCTGTTTTGCTCTAGACCACCACCATTTGGCTCGCCTCGTTGTCCTGAAGGCAAATTTACCATTTGTTTTATGTTTCAAAAGTTTGGTAACCCCCTTTTGTATACACTGTCACAGAACACTAGTTGTTCTGTGTTCAAGCAAAGCGACACTGTTTCTAGCCTCCCTTAAGAAAGAGGATAATAATATGATGTACTTTGTTGTTGAAGCTCAATCAGCAGTTGAAGAATTAAAAATGTTCCTTGAGGCAGATTCATTTGAGGAGAAAAAGACGAAGCTAGATAAATTCTATATGGTTATGATTCTTAGGGTTATGAATCTAGAATTTAATCATGTTAGAGATCAAATTTTAACTGGACAAGAAGTTCCTTCTATGGAGAGTTTGATCACAAGACTACTTCGTATTCCATCTATCAAAGATAAAAATAGTCAAGAACTTGCTGAATCTTCTACCATAATTTCTGCTCATGGAAGAGGTAATCATGGTAATAG